CATTTTGTGAATTATGGGTCATTTAAACGTCTTCATTAGAGGAAATTAGAAAGAAGGGAACAGATTAGAGAAAGCTTAAAAGTGTTTTATGTATTATCTTGTATATTGTCTTTTCTACACACACTGGACAAGCTAGCGTTCCGGTCTGTGGTTAGTATAGGAAAGTAATTGACTTTATAAAGATTTCGTATAACTATTCGAAGGCACTCATAACTTGTAAATTGTTGTTATAAATTTGTTCTTTTGTAGGGTTGCATGAAGTAAGTAAAAAAAAAAATGTCCATATATATATTTAATCTAGTATTATTATGTGATATTTGATTTAAGTATTTCTTATGGTTATTTGAACATTGCTTTGCAACTATATTTTTTATTGGGGAAAAAAAGAACTTGATGATGATTGGTTGCATTCAACGTGTCCGAATACCATCGTTTTATATCAAATTATTATCATCACAGTTATCAGATATCACAACCAGCCTTTTATCAGCCATCACCAGCCTGTCAGTCGATAAAATAGATTCTCGAGAGATAGTTTATGGAGACTATTGATATTTTTCCTAACGGATTGGGACATTTTGGCGGGAAAGGGTGGTTCCATATACGTGCATATGTTATGATTTAATAAAAAATAAAGTCTTGGAAATAATTTGTGTGTGTTAAACAGTTTTTACATTTATTTTCAGTTAAAAATGTTACGAATATAATTTGCTTCCGATGCAAGTTTTATATCACTTTTAAACCACTTTTATTATATGAGAAAGACTCGTTGTTTGTGCCTTTTATTACACAATATTTCTTTGTAAATATTTTAAAAAATGTAGAGATACATATATTTTAGTGTTTTCTCTTGATAATAGTTCATGGTAATTTTCTTCTGTTAAAAGTTTCTGTTTTATGCATGGCATGTGTGAATATATAAATATTATTTAAAGCTCACTGTGATTCCTTTCTCGTTTCATTTCTATGAAAATGAGTTGTATATGAAATACACGGAATAATAACAAAAACTAAAATATTTTTCCAAAACAGTTTAGAGAGAGAGACAAAAAGAAATAATTTAATATCGTATATTTTTTACCAGCATTACACACGCACATGCACACGCACAACACACACACGCACACGCAAACGCACACCCACATGCGCACACGTAAACGCACACGCAAACGCACACGCGCACACACACACGCACACACACACACACACGCACACACACACGCACACACACACACACGCACACACACACGCACGCACACACACACACACACACACACACACACACACACACACACACACACACACACACACACACACACACACACACACACACACACACACACACACACACCCATACACACACGCACGCGCGTACGCACACGCACACAAACACAAACACACAAAATACAAAGACAAGTAGACGCTGATTTAACGCTGTTCCTTCGTTTTGGATATCCACCAAATACACAGATTCGAGTGATATTTATTACATGATAAACACATTTCGGAAAGTATTTTCTGCACCATGATTTTATAATTTCCACGCAGCCCCCATTACGTGTGATTCTCATGCATTCTCCCCCCAACAGGACCGCCGGACATGGCGGCCGCCCGTGATGACGAAGGCAGCAGCGGGCACGAGGCGGGCGGGTCCAGCATGGAGGAGGGGAGGAGCCCCAGGGAGGACACGCCCCCGGCTCCTTGTGCGGCGTTCTGTGGTCCGAGGGCGTGCTCCACCCTGCCTCCCAACATCTCCACGCAGCAGCCCCAACGTATGCGAGAGAAATGTGGTTTGGTGATATGGTTTAAAGGGGTTTATATGTGGTTTAAAATGCAACAAGCGTGGCTTGGGGAAAGGAATGTTGATTTAGGTTAGTTTACCCAGCAGTTGGTTGTTTTCTTTGATAATGTATGTTAGAAAACTGAATTTTCAAGGATGACTAAACCATTTTTATTAATTGATATTAATATTTTATTTTTATGCTTCTTGTATTGCCAATTCACGATATATATATATATGTATATATATATATATATATATATATATATATATATATATATATATATATATTTTTTTTTTTTTTTTTTTTTTTTTTATAAAGAAATTTCTTTTGTATTGAATGGAATATATTAGGAACACAAATCCTTAGTAACATAGTTGAATCATAGTGGAGTTCACGACATTAAAAGCTATTTCCTCAATAGTTACTTTAATAGTAATTTTCGGCAAACTACCATCATCATACCAGTAATGTTCACATTTTATTTTTGCAACAGCACTACTTTGATAGATTGCATTCCTTATAATAGCCACACGCTCTGCAAAATCAATCTTACCTATTTACCCTAGTATTAGCTTTTTTTTATGTTAATGTCTAAACTGTATATAAAAATGAAAGTTTCGAGGTTAGGAATTTGGTAAAAAAAAATGTGTATTTAGTTGAGCTGTGTTGAGACATCCAGGCAATTTTAGGAAATTGGTTGGTTTTAGCTCAGAATT